GCATCAGGTTTAATTTAATTAACACTTGTGTAGTATTCCGTCTTGGTTTTTTTGCAATATATATCGAAATGGCGTCAAGTGATTTTTACACACTCATACATGCTCATCATTTTTTCCTCATCTTCTTTTTCTTCTTCATAATTTACTAGTACTCCACCTATGCGATGCACGGACAAAGTGTGTGTGTGTGTGTGTGTGTGTGTATATATATATATATATATATATATAAATAATTATTTTAATTGGAGTTTATATTTTTATGATAAGTTTGAAACATAAAAGAGCTCAAAGCATCATGTATGTTGAAAAATGTTGGTGTTAATAGGTGTGTAAAATCAATCATGAGATTGCATATGCATTTTCTCAGTAATTTTCATTGAACAAACTGAACATTTTTTTTTATCAATATCTATGCAACAAAGAATTAAAAATATACAAACTTTATAAATTATTAAACACCTCTTTATATACAATATTTGACGTTGAAGAAACATACTCTCTATTGTCGTTACAAATAAGTAATTTAAGACCATTCAGATCGTTAACTCTAGATAAAGCTACATACAGTTGACTATGAACAAAAATTGATTTTTGTTTATGTTTATAACAAAATAACCAATATCATCATATATGCCACCTGTGCGTTGCACAGTATGAAAATGATCAATTGATTAAATATATAGTATAGAATAATGAATTAAAAATATATAATATTTAACAAAGCGTATGAATATATTATTCAATGAAATTTCTCTCTTTTTCTTTGAAAGCATTAAACGGATTGTGAAAAATATAATTAAATCTGTTTTTAAAAAATTGTTATTGAAGTTGTAATAAAAAAGTATAGAATGAAGCACTATTCTTCAGAATTCATTGCGAGATGTATTTTTTTTAGTAATTATAGAATGGTTATTTATATTTAACATGACAACGTACAATCAACACATATTATAAAGGCCTATTTTATTAGATATTACATGATATTTAAAAATTTTAAATTTAAATAAATAAAATGTACGTATAAAATGAAATCAACACCTAAACTACATTATTATATAAGTTAATAAATAATATTTTGTACAGGCAACAAAATGATATTCATTCAACTCATGTAGATAAATTTAAAAAAAAAAAGTAAAATTCACAAAGATCCATTTACATATCTAAATTACAAATTAATAAAGACTTCCTTGAAAACAACATTTGTAGTTGAAGAACAATATTCTCCCTTCTCATCGCACATTAAGATTTTAAAACTCTCAATGTAGCCACATATAATTGACCATGTACAAATAATAAATTCAATATAAAACATATACAAAAAAATTACATAATTAAATTTATATATTGCAATGCACAAATAGAACATATTATAAAATTCATGTAATAAGAAATTAGTACAACATAAATACAATCAATGATATAAGAATATACTATACAATTATTAAGTGATACTGTATAAGATTATTAACAAAAAAAATGTGATTGCATGTAAATTCTTTTTTGTTTTTTTTTGCCAAATAATAAATTGACTATAGTATGATATATTTTTTCCAGAAATATTATCATATCATACACAAACATGATATATGTACATCAATCTATACATAAAATATAAAATAGTACAAAAATGGCCCAAATGACCCAAGATCAATAGTTATGTTGTGAAACTGAATGCACCATGCGCATGGTGCATAAGATGCAAAACGACGTCGTTTTGACTAAAAACGCGCATCCCACTTAAAAAAAAAAAATTCAGGTTCGATTATCGACAATAACATTATTGTGGATATATAGTTATGAATTTCTGAATATATAGTTATGAATTTGTGGATATATAGTTATGAATTTATGGATATTTAGTTCATTCATTGTGGATATTTAGTTCATTCATTGTAGATATTTACTTCATTCATTCACTGTGGATATATAGTTATGAATTTCTGGTTATATAGTTATGAATTTCTGGATATATAGTTATGAATTTATAGATATTTAGTTCATTCATTGTGGATATTTAGTTCATTCATTGTAGATATTTACTTCATTCATTCACTGTGGATATTTAGTTCATTCATTGTGGATTTTCACTTCATTCATTCATTGTGGATATATAGTTATGAATTTGTGGATATATAGTTATGAATTTATGGATATATAAAAATGCTATTGCCGGAAATCGAACCTTATTTCTATTTTAAGTGGGACGCGCGTTTTTAACCAAAACAACGTCATTTTGCATCAAATGCACCATGCGTATGGTGCATTCGGTTGCACAGCATAATTTGCGACCCAATACTTCTGCAACCCAAAATTTTCCCCACGTCCCCTAGATAAAAGGAAAAGAAAAAACTAGGGCTGGGCATTCCGGTTCGGTTTATCCGAACCGAACGGTTCGGCCTCAAACCGAAGAACCGATTGGTACTTGGTTTGAGGAAACCGATCGGTTCGGGTTAAATCCGAACCGAACCGAAAAACCGATCGATTTTTTGCTTTTTTTAATTTATTTTTTATTAATAATAATATATATATATATTATATTAAATGTTTAAGGTGACATTTGAACCCTTACTCATTTGGTTATAAACTAAGAGCTTTACCCACTAAGCTATAGCTACATTTATGTCTATATTCACATTTGTATGCTAATAAAGGTATACATTTTTCATTAAATGTTGCACACTTCAAATATAATGAATAAAATTGTCCGTACTACATTCTTGTTAAACTAAAATATCATTATACTGTTATTACACCGTTGCTATTTAATTCAAAAAGTTTCATAATTCTATCATTATTATCATACACCTATATATATATATATATATATATATATATATATATATATATATATATATATATATATATATATATATATATATATATATATATATATAATTAACTATGATATCTTTTTCCTATTCTTTAATTATCATTTTATTAAAATCATTATATAATTACTTTAATTGTTGATTATATTTTAATTAAATTTCTATGAATAGTAAAATATAAATTTTGTTCATCTCTATAATTTTCAAATACGATGATTAAAATTTATTACTTTAAGGAATTACGAAATATAATTTGAACTATAATTTGTAATTATTTGCATTTATCAATTTTTTAATGTTGGACATAAATTTTCGTGCATCACGCGTACAAAATGTTAGTATTATATATAAATATTATAATAATTAATAATTTTAACTCCTCAAGTCCTCAAATCTCAACTCTAAGTTGTAAGTCCCAACATTTGGTGTTTTAATAATTTTTATTTTTCAAATATTAACTATAGATGAATGATTCTTCATTTTTCCATCAACAAAACACTTCAAGTGGCACTCCAAGTGAGCCAACTGAACAATCGGTCAGGCAAAAAAAGAAACATTCAAATAGTAGACTTTCACCAAAACCGAACCGAATACCGAACCGAAACCGAATCGAACCGAACCAAACTTTTCAAACCGAAACCGAAACTGAACTCTATTCAAACCGAATGGTTTAATTTTTTTAAAACCGAAAAACCGAAACCGAAACCGAAACTGAAAAAAACCGAACCAAAACCCGAAGTGCCAAGCCCTAGAAAAAACCTAGTTTTCAGACAATAATCTTCTTTCATCCTCCCTTCTCGCATCTCCTCCTTCACTCTCACTTCTCTCAAACCTAATCTAGAAGTTTCACTAAAGATTTAGCAACCAATTTGTACTCATTTCATTCTTGTGCTGAAAGATTGCACTTAGCCAAATCCCCCTTCTTTAATCTTGGCAGTTTACACATCGTCAACGATTTGAACCAAAAAACCCCAAATCCATAGCCTACGGATACTTGGATCTCAATTGCGATACAAAAACAGAGTCGTTCTGTGAGGTTATAAGATCATTCTACAGTATAAAAGGACAGAGAAATGCATCCAAACACAAGCCATAGGTAATATACGATTTTCCCTACCTTTTTTTTTTCATTCTGTACGGAAATGTATGTATATTTTGTGTTTTTTTGGGTGCATGTATAATATATAACTTCCATAGTTGTTAGAGATAGGAATCTATGCTTAAATCTGTATCATAGTTTGAAACTGATCATGTTTGTGTGTGAGAGAGAGATAACATTGTCTTGTGTTTGTATTTTATTTTCTGTGCATTTGTATTCTGTAAATTGAAAGGTTGTTAGGGTTAGGATTTTTTTACTCAATCAGTAGCCTATTTTGAATCTAATTGTGTGTCCTTTGTTTGTATGCACATTTTTGTTGGCAAAATTCTGTTTTTTTCAAAAAAATAAATAAATTATATACATCCATATTATGGAAATTACATGTTTGCTACGGGTAGGACTTTGTCAGTCCATCCTTATCCTAATTTAATATTGAGTGTGAAATTTGTTAACATATAATTTTTTTGTCAATTTAAAATTGTTTACATATTCAGTAATTACCAAAAATAAAAAATAAAAATACAACATATACACACAAATTATAAAAAAATTATAATTTCCTTTTATACTCCCTATAAGCACCCATGCAATATAGGAAAGGGATTCATATCTCAATATCCTTACAAATTTTTATGTTTTTTTTTAGCTTTTGAATTGCCTGTCTCAAGTTTGTCTCAAGTTCTTTTCACATTTCATTCTAAAATACAACATTATCTAAGAAAATAGATAAAATTCTTATAAAGTACACAATATGCAGATCATTTATAGGAAAAATACACAATTCTCATATTTTGCAAATATTGAAAAAATTGCAGTATTCACATCTACCATTTTTTTTTCTCTCTGACCTTGTAAATGTATAAGTTTTGTTATCTACCTACTTGGAAAGAATGAAATCTTATGATTCAACCCAATCAACCTGTATTTCAATCTTCCTTCCTGCCACAATCTGTTGCATTTGCAGCAGTACATCAGGCCTTCCCGTGGAATGAGTTTTTTGTTACATGCACCACCATTGCATGAAACATAGAACCAGTCTGCCAAACTCTCTCTTCCTACAATTTTGCTGCAATCCAATACTCCTCCAGCTGTATTTGTAAAATATTACTAAAGTCCTATTAACAATGCAAAAACATATGTCAGTCTAAAAAAAAAACCTTACTTCTTTTCTTTGATAAATCTCTTCAATAGTAGACACAACAATGTCATCACTCACCGAATGTGTAACCGACATAGACAAAGAGAGTCTAGACCCTGAATCTATACTCCTCAATGGTGTGTGATGTTCTGGCAAATTGGAAAAAAACATGAGGCAAAAATAAATAAAATTAAATAGAGTTGTATATCAGTTAACAAAAAGAAAGGTTATTCTAACCTATTCCTAAATGCCCGAAACTCCGGGGAATCGTGGTTGAACAATAACTGTGTGGCATTAAAAGGGGCCACAATACGTAAATCACCATCTGAAATAAAAAATAGGAGCCAAACTCATTAAAAAACCAGAATTGTACACAATCTGATAAATGTTAACATAACTCATTTTAAGCCACAAATCTTTATAAATACTCTTAAATCTGAATTGCTCTTTGTATGTAGACAATAATAACATAACTTATTGTCCAAGATCTTGCAGTCTGCACAGCCAAACCTGAGAAATGTTAATATAACTCATTTTAAGCCACAAATCTTTATAAATACTCTTAAATCTGAATTGCTCTTTATATGTACACAATAATAACATAACTTACTGTCCAAGATCTTGCAGTCTGCACAGCCAAATCAAAACAATTAGGGACTCATCCATACTACAGTTGTAATATGGGAGAACCTTGTTAACATGCTCACCCTAAACTATACACTTTAGCTGCCTGTGACTGAAATCACAAATTTGAATACAACACTTTATGCAAAATACATTTTCTTTTACAAACCTTTTTACCAAACAAACTAAAAACCCAGTGTATATGAAATTATAGTCTTACCTAGCATCCTTAATAAGAAAATCTATCACCCGTGTTTCTTTTCCGGATATAACTTTGTCAAGTGGAGAGTATATCTCCAATAACATCTATAGTTACACAAGAAGAAAACATATTTCAGTTACATGAAGAAAAAATATAGCAGTAAAGAAATACCTATTAGTTCTTTCTAGTCAACTTCTCTTTTGTCTAGCTCGTTTCGAATGACTTTAAACGAAACATTTGGTTAGGAAATTCCACTATCTTGTACTCCTTCACAGTTGTGTCATGCTTAAACTTTACCATGTAAAGTTCTGTGATTATATTATACTTTAAGAAGTTTGTAATGACCAGGAAATTCTTTAGGCCATAAACCTTCCTTTCTTTGAAATGATTTTTGTATTTGTCTACATGTTCCTTTGGTATATGAGCATGCACAAATGTTCCTAAAGTAAGTGAAAAATATAGTTATTTCCAAAGCTATAATATGTTATATACAAATACATTTATTAAATTATGATATAAAAGAAAACTTCATTAAATTTTGCATTACTCACCTCTGCATCATGGAATACACATTCTCTCTCGGCTCTTGATTATACTTTTGCATTTAGCTTCACATACTTCATACGTATGAACTAACCTCACTTCATGACTTTCCTTGTCTGAGCAGGGTGGAGTTGAGAAGCAAGAACAAATTTTCAGAAGCAAGAACAAATTGTCCTACCATGAGGGCTGCTGCTAAATTCAATTGCCCAAGAAGTTGAATTGTATTTGTGTTGTGTTTACCATGTAACCTTGGCTATATATATATATATATATACACACAAAGGACTGTAGAATCAAGTAGTACACTAATAGGGTAAGAGGGTAAGTAGGACACTAATAGCTTTGAAGACTTTTCTCCAAAACCATACGGCACATTCAGAGCAAAAAACGCTGACATGCCTCGGAAATAGGAATAGTTTCTAAAATATTACATGCAACTTCTGCGAGCTGGCAGAGAGTATAACAATTACCTAAAACGTTGCGTTTTCAATTCCTTGGGCGGAAAATTCAAGCTATATGATTGGCTGAACTACGGCTTCCTTTATATGTATATAGATATCTTGCTCTCTTCCTCATCATCCTACTCTTTGTAATTAATTACCAAAACAACATACTCTAAACCTGAAAAGAAATGTTCTTCATCATTCCAGCTTCAAGCCCACCATGCTGCATCCAAACATCATTCCAGTGGGTTAAGAGTAGAGCAGTTCTGTGTTGGAAATTTATATAGTAATGGAGATTAATGTTTCAGATGAACTACCATGAAAGCTTAAATAATATTTTTAGATGTGGAGTTGTAAATATTATTTTAGTTTAGTAGAAAGTTAATTAAAATACTGGGAGAAATTTATATGGCTATATGCTTGTGATATATAGCTATATGCTTGGGATATATAGCTAATATGCTTGAGAGTATTAATGCATGTTTGGATATTTTCATGCGTAAGGTGTTGGGGCTTTTTGAAGCTATATGCTTCAAAACTACACTTAACGTGCTTGAAATATGCTCTTCTATTTTGTGAAGCTATATGCTTCAAAGTTACACTTAACATGCTTGGTATATAACATGCAATAAAGTTGCATAAGACTGAGATATTTCACAGTTTTACAATTCAACAGGAAATTCTCAAACAAAGCAACTTGAGAATTTCATTCATATTCTTGTATCCCATAAGATTAAATCTTGAACCTTGTTGCTTTTATAGACGGAGATTTAAAGCTTATAGGAAAGTGATTACACGCCTGAAGATATCAAATGATCTAGTTTTTGTTCCCTGTTGTATTCTGTATTATTGTTGTATCTCAAATGTATTACAGATTACAAGCCCTTTTTCCAACAATCTATAAGCTTTAAAGTTCTAAATCTATGATCATGGTCTTGTCTTGAAAGTTTTGAAGACAAGATGCCAGGCGTGAACAGTTTCCAATCACGGAAATTTTCGGAATGAGAATTTCAAATTTGGTGGTAAGGATGACAGAAATCCCTTTCTATTGTACAAGAAGGTTTTTCCTGCGATTTTTTATGGCATGTTGTGTACATGATGTACATGTGGATTAAATTCATGTTGTGCAGTTTTTGTTTTCATCTTCACTTAAAGTCATGGGGCATCAAGTGATGCCATGACGATTAGTGAGATGGGTAAAATGATTTTAATTAAAAAAAATCATTTTGTTAGCCATGATTAATTGGCATGAGAAGATGTGTACTTCCCTAGAGTGGGTGTGTGGTTTCAGCGTATCAAAGGCCGGAAGTGATGACCATTAAAGCAGATACAAGTTACAGGATGAGATCGGTACAATACTTTTTATTTGTCTCGGCCTCGGCATGAATGTAAGTTTTATTTTGTTTACTGGTTAAGTTCTGGCTTAGGTCTAGAAGATATGCATGAGATTCTTTTGAATTTTGCATAGCCTATTAAATACAAGGATATGTTTATGCATGTTTATAAATATTTTTATATTGAGACTCTGTCTCGGTTGCATGCATAGTATACAAGATACATGTATAATATGTTGGATCTTGGTGTGCTGTAAATTGCCAAATTTGGTGTAGTTTGGTGTTGTAAATATTTATGGTATCATTTTCATGGATACAGAGTTGCATAATGATAAGATGAAATTATTTTTATTTTTCCATGGATGAAATATTGGTATTTTAGCACACGGATGTTTTTATCCTTGAGAAAGTTTTTGAAATATTATGTTCTTAATATTTCTAATAAAGACAGAAATGCCTTCGAAATATTCTAGTATATTTCTAATGAAAGCATGTAGAAAGTTTTATGCATGAAGTATGCATAATGAAATTCATAAAATTTATGAATGCCTTTAACACAAAGTTTCTCATATTGAGAATGTGTTAAAATATTGAAAGCCAAAAAGTTTACTGGTTTATCTAGTATGGAAATTGGCTAGTGAAAAGAAAGTTTAAATTTAAATCATGGATTATGATTTAAGTTGGTATGCTTCTTCGGTTTAGAAGAAACATGAAAAATAAAAGCTTAAAAAAGAAATGGTTTCTTCTCCAAAGTGAATAGATTGTTAGAAATAATTATTTCCTAACAATGATTTATATAATAAAGGTTGTAATTCCATAAGGTACTTACGTTGATGATTAGTGATGTGTAAAGGCGGAATTACTGGGTGAAATTCCCTCCCTCTCATTCTGTTAAAATTTAAGTTCATAAGGGTTAAACGATGTATAATGGATAAGGTTATGGGTTTCACATTCCTAAAGGGATTTCTATTCCTGAAAGGAGGTCACATTCCTAAAGGGATTTCTATTCCTAAAGGGGGTTCCCCATTCCTCTTGAAAGAGGTTTTCTCATCACATCTATAAATACCCAGGAAAACTCTAGGGATATTAACGGTTTCAAATCTCTAAGTTTTCTACTCTCTGTATCATCACGAGGTGATTAAGGAATACGGATCAGAGAGGTGAAACACTATATTCTTGATTCATTCAATTTAGAGATTACATTTTCAATGGAGCCAAGTAAGTTCTATCTTTTCTATTTAATTAAAAATCCATGATCATGAACATTGCTTAGTTGATTGATTTAATTTACATGCGATCATTGTTAATTGTGCTTCCGCATTCAAGTTATAGCGCATAAAGGATTATTTAACATTTGGTATCAGAGCCAGGTTGTAAATTGATTAATCACTAAAATTAGGGTTCATGATATTTGGGGATTTTTTTAATTATAAGGTTTATTTGATTATGGGTTGTTGATTATTATCCATGTCAAGTGTTCTCGTAACTGTACACATATAATTATGGAATTAATATCATACGTGTGTATGTACATGTGATTGTACAGTTCGTTGTTGATGGGTACGTATAGTACTGCCTTGTTTCTGTTAAAACCCATTCGTATACATACTGTCTGTATGAAATTGTTAATGGAATCAAAATCAATTTGTTGATTTGGAATCAAACGTCTGGGAATCTGGAATTAATGTGCAATGTAATGTTCTCTGGGAAGTAACTCATATGCATATATGTATGTGAATGTTCTTTTGGAATTGAATCAAATGGATCAACATATATAAGTATATACGTACTATATGTTGATTGGCAATGTTTGGCATCAAGCTATGTATGTACAATTCAAGGCTATGTACGTACTGTTCAGACATGTAATGCAATTTTGTTTTCTTCCAAGAATCACATATATGTCATACGTGTATGTATATACTGTAATGTATATATGTTTTTGGAATTGAATCATATAGAATCATGTTAGTTGTACTGTGTTCGTACGGTATATGATTCATATGTTATATGGTTTGTCTCTATCAAATCATGAATTATATGTTATAAGAGAACGACATATAAATTAAGGTTTATTTTGTTTGGACAATTAAATTGAGTCTATTTGTGTTTATTTAAAGTATTATGGACTCGCTTTAAATTTTAGGCTCATTTAATTTGTGTTTATATTTGAGTCTATTTGGGTTATTTAAAGTATTATGGATTTGTTTTAAATTCTAGACTCATTTAATTTGGGTTTATATTTGAGCTGTTTGGTTTATTTAAGGCATTAAGGACTTGTTTTAAATTATAGGCTCATTTGGGATCAGTTATGGTTGGAGATTATATCCACTATTAATTTATATATGTTTATAAATGAATTATTAGCATAAAGCGAGTGCGTTAGTCGCCAAAGCGGCCCACTCAAGGTAATAGCTAATAATCATTTATGCTTATGTTTACTGCATATATATAAATCAAGGTTTACTTACATAAATGGGTTATTAGCATAAGGCGAGTGCGTTAGTCGCCAAAGCGGCCCACTCATGGTAATAGCTAAATGATCATTTATGTTTATGTTTGCAACGTAAATTAAAGTTTATTCACATAAATAAATTATTAGCATAAGGCGAGTGTGTTAGTCACCAAAGTGGCCCACTCAAGGAAATAGCTAAATGATTATTTATGTATACAAATGTTTATCGTACACAAGTATTTTGCATCGTTGAATGACACTAAAGGATTGATAAACATTTGTGATCATTAACACATGGTTCTAGCGGTTGCCCAAAGGTAGATCAGACATGTGATTAATGACAATTTAGGAGATTATGATTCTTGTTTTGTTAATATGTAGTGCATGTCCAAAGATGGTCTATATATTAAATTGAAACTTGATGAATAGCCTCATTCAAGTATGTGTGAATGATGCATGTCGGTAAATTGACATTGTATTTAAATTTTACCCAAAGGCGGATTTAAATGCAAACTTAAGGTCTATAAATTATAGTCTGAATAAAGGTTTGTTATTCAAAGCAATTGATATGTGAGATAAATGTTCGCAGTGAACACTATAATATCACGCTATAATGGTGACAGTTTTAATGTCAGTGGTAATAGCAGCAAGTTTAAAAAAGAAGGTCAAGCATCCTATGAAGGTGCAAGGTAATGTTCAGAAAGTGCATAAATGCTATTCTGTAACAAACCTGGGCACAAGAAGGCTGAATGCCTGAAGAGGAAAGCTTGGATGGAAATAAAAGTATACATTCAGTTTCAGTATGCTTTGAATCCAATCTTGTTAAGGTTCCTTCTAATACTTGGTGGTTAGGCACTGGTGCTACAACACATGTTTATAA